TATAATCTTTATTGTCTATATCACATTTATGATAACAATTACATCAATATTATCACCTTTTTGATGTTTTTTTGGGAATATGTCTGTAGCCTTTTCAGAAGTCATCTGATGTTAGCGTTGAGACAACAAACGAGGTTTCATTACTTTGTTTTTTCTTCTTTACTATATCATTATTTCTATATGTTTTATGAGTCATGAGGTTTGTTTTTATATTTTTTTTTTTTTTTCTTATCACTATCATAAAATTTCTTTTTAAATGCAGATCCCTGTCAAATCTCCTGCAAGAGCATTCAGAACTAAAGCCGAAGCACTCATGAAGACCGCATCAGACAAAGTAAGTTTATCTTCCCACAATATATTCCCAATGTCCTAATTACTGTATCATTAAATTTCTCACATCTGTTTTTTCATTATTATTTTTTGTTTAGTTTGTACCAGTTCAAAATCTGCCCAACCCTGATATCCATCTACCCAACCCTGATATACATCTACACAGCAGCCATGTCGACGACGATGACACATTCCCCCTGATCAACACCCAATTCATAGAGGAGATTGAGAGGACACTCCAAGAAAAATTAAATGAAGTACCAAAGGGCAAAGAACCGGTACTACATCTATTGTATTTAACTATATGTTAGCTATATATATATTTAGTATTAAAAATGTGCGATTTATATATATTTGAATTAATTTAATATCTTGGTTATATGATATACATACATGCAGAGAGGTTTCAGTTATGAGCCACACCCCATCTTTGGTTATGCTGTGAATCGATCTCAGCCGTCGTTTGATGCCATCACTGCTGCTCTACCACCGACGCCACCAAAGAAGGATATTCCAGGACCGGTCAATAATGTAAGTTTAATCACTTCAATTTGTATTATTTTTAATATCTACAATCAGTTTTTTGTTTAATAATAATTTAATGTTTTTTATACAATTTTTATCAATATATTCAGACTGTCGAGAAGAATGAGGCGGTAAAAGGAAAGAACCCACAACTAATCAAGGCACAAAGGTGCCATTCTTTAGTTGTATACAGTCCAAAGAAAGACGAAGTGAGGCGTACCAAGAAGCCTAAGAGTAAATTGGAGAGCGAAATTTCCACCAAGAAACGAATAAGACTTCAGAAGTCTTGCCCATTCGACGTTGGGTTTCGCATAAATGCGACTGGGGAAGTGGACATGAAAGAATTCAGAGACTGGATTGGAGAGGGTTTGCTCAAGTCGGCTCCTCGCAAAGTCGGAGACGGGTAATACTGATTTTTTACTAGATATATAATGAGTTACATATACATCAAATATACTAAAAAATAACGATAATTATTAATGTCATATACCGTAAATATATCATACATATAACTTATAAATTTTCATTTCGTTTTGCAGTTATAATTACTACAAGGTCAGGAGCAAAACTTTGCCAACTTCTTTTGATTTAATTTTTTCTCCGTGACGGACAAGAACTGGTTTTACAACATACACGAGATTGGACACTTTCTCGACAGCAGCGTAAGAAGCATTTTGTACAACACTTATTTATTTTTTACTTGTTATATATATTTTTTTTCTAATACAATTGAGCACGTTTGTTTGTTGTTATTGTATAATATAGATATTTTATTTAAGTTTATCCCTATTTTGGTGCTTACGTGTGACATTTGTTTTATATATTTTTCTTTAGCACATGGATATCTTTTTCTACTACCTGAGGAAGATTGGATTTTATGCAAAATCTGCCCCAGTCAGGTATACGACGACTGATGTGTTGTTTGACCAACACATTAAGTTGCACGCATTGTTTCTGTCTCAGTATCGTAACAAATCCGTATGCAACGTCGACAATATGATCCTTGACTACATACTGGGATATAAGATTATATGTGGTGTTTCTTAGTCCAAGGTTGATCATGTCATGTTCCCAATGCATTTGGAACTAAACGGGGTGGGTCATTGGTTTTTGGGACGATTATCTCTTGATGACATGAAACATCATATTTACAATTCAATTCGCACTGAAGATTGCGATGAACTTGTTATGGAGAGTGTGAAGGCTTATGTCGAGATTCTCCCCATTTTTCTTGGCTTGGTCAATTTTTCGAGGAATGGAGTGCCCTGCAACAGCAATATTGAGGTGGTTTTGGTTGACAATCTCCAACAGCAGCACAACAGGTACCATATAGGCATTTGAAAGTTGAATTTGCCATTAACATGCTTTACTATGTACTATCACTATTATTATTATTACTATTATTATTATTATTATTATTATTGTTATTATTATTATTATTATTATTATTATTATTATTTTTATATTTTTTATATTTGTTGACAGTGATTGT